TACAGGTCAAGTAATTCCAGTTGCAGTTGTTATCAGTGTTATCACTGCGAGCGTAGTTCATGCTCGCGCTCTCAACTCATTGTTAGCAATCAGGATTTGCTGAGCATTGTTTGTGCCGCTTGGACGAGGAAGAAGAAAATGCTGGAATATTGCCGCACCTAGTTCTGGCTTGTTATAAACAAAACCGGCCAGTCTGATGAAGAATCTGGATCAGTCTCTATTTGGAGGTAGCTTTAAGAATGAACGAAATTAAAGGAAGTGCTCAGTCAGTCATTTTGTCCGCGTAACTTCGACCAGCTCCTGTTCGTGAATACTGTTTGGCTTGCTTGGAATTCTGGAACTGTACCGAGAAGCGACGCTAAATTTCGGCATCTGCTGCATCAGTCGCAGAATGCTCACAGTTGCGTGTCAAGCATTCCCCGTTGCAGTCGTTATCAGTGTTATCACTACCCGTATAGACAATGCTCATCTGTATGATCACGTTGCTTCGTTTTATTGTTATTGCAACACTGTTATCTACGCGTAAATAATAATAATGATTTTTGAAATCGACGCTTTATCACTACGCACATGTCACGCACACACGCGTACACACACACACACACATACACGCCTATTTACGCATACAATTACACAGTCAGTGTTCAAGCTTTCTCTGCTGAGAAGTGAATATCACAACACTAGACAAATTCGTCCCATACGTACTTTTCCTGTCGGTTGCAACTTTTTCTTCGGGCGGGAAATGGCAGCAGCGTGATCAGATCTGGAAAAACAAGTACAGGAGTGACAGTTTTTAAATGTGGCGCTGTAAGAATCAGTTCCCATGAAAACTGAAGTGTTAGCTGAACAGGGAGGGAGAGGGCCGATGTTTCACAGTGCATGTAGCGGGAGCGAAAACTGCAACATTCTCAAGCGGTTGGCACTTTACGCCATGCAGTTTATGGCAAGCACCCCGTCCGATTTATATCCAATGTAGTTTTTTAGCTGAAGTCGTGCAGCTTTGAATACCTCATCGAAATCAATTCCAGCGCCCAGCGGAATATCGCTCGACTGAGCCGCATCCACGATACTCGATATCCCCTTGCCCGCCAGCGTGGCCACTAACTTCACCGCTCTTCCTAGTTTCGGAGAATGTTGATGCGCGCCCTCACCACGATCCACCTTCCTCCGTGTTTATCAGTGAACGGTCCCGGATTTATTTGAACGGACTGCCCACACATCAGCCTACTTGTAAGCAACTCTCGAAAGAAGAGCCACCAACAACCCCATCAGAAAATGGTTGCCATTCGCACTTATTATTCTCGAAATACATCGCAGTGCATTCGACCGATAAACACAGAAAAAAATTAGAAAGCGGTTTGGACTTTTCTGATTAGATTGTATCTTCTTATCTGTCTGTAAAAGTCTTATCTGTTTCAACCGCGATTACGGTACACAAACTAACATGAATTGTATTTTAAACTCAAGTTGCAAAGCACCAGGCTTGCCGGTGCGATCATGCGTTTTTGCACTAAACTCGCAGGTCGCTAATAGCAGGAATGATCCTGCGCTGTAGCCTAATACTTGGGCTCATATTAGCCTTGCTTTGGACCTTTCCGGCATGCAGGAGAAAGGGTGTCGGGTGGGGTGAAGGTGGTGCATTATAGAGACGCACGGACCTCCAGGTACAAGATTACCAGTTTTTTGCACGAAGCTCGGTCGTTTTTTCGGTAAATGCCCGTTTTTTGAAAAAATTAAAAATGCATATC